ATTTACACTTGGGTTTACCAGGGTCGCCAGGGTTCCCATCGGCGGCACTCTTCTTCCCCCCTCCTCCTGGGCTTTGCCGATCTGGAGGAGGAGGTGGTGGAGGATCATCATCAGGAGGGCCAGGTGGAGGTGGCCGCTTATCCGGAGTACGGGACGCGGCACGCCTTCCTCCTGTGCGATCGTTCAATCCACTACTTGAGGCCTGGTTCGAGTGCCTTGACTCGAGGGAGTTAATTCTCTGGGCCGTATTACCCAGCACCTCGAGCATTTGCTCGAGCTTACTGTTGAGCGTAGTCGAAACGGCCATGTTATGAGTATTTTGCTTGTCCGTGTAGGATTTGCAGTCCCTTGACTTTATCTCAAGGTTGGCTTGTGTCTCATAAAGTTGGTCTTTAACCCACTTTATGCCGTCCCTATTATTGGTCCAGCGTTGTTCGACATCTTGCATCATCCTATCAATCTGACATACCCTAGTGGACAGGTCCTCGATTTTGAGGTTTACTCCACCAATCGCAGGATGGTTGGATTGGCTCTCCACTAGAGATCTCTCGATCACATCAACACGAGCTATAAGCCCGGTTACTCGATCAGAAAGAGATTCAAAAACAGTTTGAACCTGGGTGATGGAGCGAGCAACATCATCATAGCTGGCTCGCTCATTTAGGGCATCGCCTATGCTTATCATGCGATTGGAAACGATCTTGACGCGTTGGCCAAGCTCGGTCACGATGTCCTTAGTCCCTTGTGACAGCTGCATGGCCGCGTTCGCAGCCTGCGTACACGTGCTACTCACATGGACGCATTGGTCGTATTTGGCCCTCCACGAGTTAACCTCAGTGGAGAGCTGCTTGATGCATTGATCACTTCTATCATTCCTACGCCCAAGGTCTTCGACCTTAGCAACCAGGCGATGAATGATCGCACTTACCGAAGAGTCCACTCTCCCTCTTTCAAGGGCTGTTACAAGATCAGCAACCTCGTTGGGTTGCTCCTCACTCGCAGGACCAAATCCTGATCCGCGATCTCGAGGAGTGGACAAATCAACCATGATTGGATTAGATCTCGGAGGAGTTCTGAAATCATCCTGCACGGCCGTTGATGGCCGTGGGAACTCACTCCGATTAGGAGATTGACTCTGATACGGAGCAGATCTCCTAGCATCACGAACCGCAGAGGGTTGTGTCATGCCCAGGCCTTTGGCCACGGACAGTTTAGGAACAACAGGCCTATCCGTTCGCATAGGAACATCAGGTCTCGAGTCAGCAATAACAATGTCATTCAAGTCGGTCGCATTGGACACTCTAGACTCAGACATCGATTCAATATCAGTCGCATTACTGATGGTATGATTGCGACTAGAACTTGATGCCATCATGGACTCAGATTCTATCGGAACATTAGCTCCGTCCATGTTGTCCAGAGCGAAAATGGAAGCCGCGTTGGGCGTAGGGCGAACACCTTGCGCGTTCAAGCCACTTGACCTATTAAATTCCTCCTGGAATGCTTCGATCCCATCAAGCACGTTAACGAGTGTGTCCGCGTTTAACGGGTCTCTACCAATGATCGACGCTGGATCACCTGATCGACCGCGTCCTGAGTCCCGCGTATTGGGGTTACCCCTGTGGGCAGTTTCCCGATCCATCCCCCTTGCCCTATGCGATCCAGTCGAATTTGACCTTGATCGTTTGCTTGGGGTTGGACTGGGATGCAAATCCAATCTATCTACGATATTACGCTCCCTAGGGCTCTCAAATCCTGAAAGTCCTGGGGGAGGGGACATGTTCCTCATGGTCGGGTTTACCGACGGCCTTGGCCTGACGTTACGGCTGGCCACGTCAGGATTGAGATTCTCAATCGACAAAGGTAGCATGAATTCATCGCTTCCAGCAGCCCGTTTTGGGCTTTGGAATTGCGGGAAAGATGACGGGGCGGGTGGCCCTGGCATCCATGCGGCAAAATCCATACCAAAAATGTTTCCGTCGTTGGGCCATGAGGCTCTCCAATCGAGCCCACCGGATTCGGTCGGCAGATGAACGTCAAATGCAACTCCACTGGATGTACCAGGTTCGGGATTACCGAGCACTTGAAAAGCTATGCTACTGCTTGGCACAGGTCTACTGCTGCCTCGGGAGTCACGAATTTCGGACTGACCAATATTCATCAGCTCGGGGAAAGATGAGGGCTGAGCTCCAGGTGCAATACCGGGCTCGTCATCATCACGTCCTGAGACGGAATCATCATGGCCAGGACGATTAGACCCACGACCCTGAGAGCGATTAGCTCTTGAGGCATTAGACGATAGATCATCAGTGCGAGTAGCACTGGATCTCTCTGAAGGCATTGCTTCTGAAAAAGTGTGGTCCGACAAAAAGTCAGGACCGGAAAACATCGGCTGTCCGGGCACTTGGTCGTCATTCACAACGTCCAAGATTCCGGCCTGGCCGAGAACCCACTCATCGGTCACCACATGAGGTCCATCCTCTGTGATTCCCGCCATGAGTCCTACAGTAGCCTATGGAAAACGGCGCCTGCAGGGTTGTTATTAAATGGGGTTCGCGGTGCCAACCGAGGACGAATCCTACGGCTGATAACCTGCGAAAGGGTTTGAAACAGTATTTCGGGAGAGAATAAACAGGCCCAATCCCACCAACAAGAAGAGATTGTTTAAGCCCCCCAGTCCCAAGGGCAAAGCGGTGCCCCCGGCTGGCACAACCAACGAACCAAAACAGGGTGCCTTTAACCAACAGATGAATAAGCCCAGCAAGGGCAGAGACAACCAAAAGCAAGCACAAAGCAGCAAATCAGGCAGGCAAACAATGCGAAGCGCAAAGCAAACCAAATGCAGCACCCTCCCAAACCCGTGTCCTGACCCACCTCCACGACCAAGCCCCAACCGCGGCCTCCCGGCAACGCGCACCTTTTGCGCGATGATGGGCGCCGCGCCGTTGAAAGGCGCCGTGACGAGTATGGCAAGTGTGGGTTTGCCAGAGGGAAAACTTGAGCCAAATACCGCGTTGGGTAATGGCATACTACAAACTGCTATGATAAAAGTACATGCCCCCAAAAACATCCAGGAAACATTCACAAATCTAAAACCTTGCGTGGTGTCCTGTTGGGTGAAATTATTGCAATGAGCCTGTCCGGCAACCAGCTAAATCTCGGATTTTGGCAGTGAAGTGACGCTCTGCAAAAGGTCAAAATGACATCCGCCTCTATAATCCAGATTTACATGCCTGAATTAAGGGGCTTACCAAGTAACGACGACCCTTCATATCCCTTCAGATGTGGGTCGCAGGAATTTCACGTGTGGGAATTTCCACCCGCCACAAGGCCCAAGTCAGCTCGCACGGGTGGCTTCCTGCAAAATGCATGGTGAACAGAAGGTGCGGAACATCGCACTTCCTGGGTGGGTTGGCGAAACTTGCCGTTAACCGCTAAATTGCCTTCCGTCTTCCCAAAAGGCAAGAAGCCCAGAAAAAGGGGGCTGAAATGCGCTACCTAAGGCAAGCCGCACACGAAGCCCGAAGAAGAAGTTGAAGGCACCTCGCATGCCGATACAAGCACAGCAATCAGCAACGCATGACCTCCACTCTGCCAACAAAAATCCTACCAGGTGCCCATGCCAATGTCGGCACAACTCTACCCAGAAACAGCCTGCAGGTTCCATGGAATGTCAACCGTCCTTCATGCAGCCATGAGAATTGCACGCTTCCTCCAACTGGCACCGTTCAAGAGCATTCGGGCAGCGTGTCGTCTGAATCCCTGCCCCTCATCAGAAATGTTGCCTCTTGGCTGAGTTGCTGTTGACCCCTCTGCAGAAAGCTTAACTTGTTGTGGGTTCAATGGAAAACCCTCGGTTTCAACATGTTTCAACCAAAATGCTAAAGTCTAAAGATCCAACCCAGTAGAATCAACCAAGTAGGCATACCAAACAAAGCGAAGGAGTAACCGTGGCTTCGAGCGCCAGAGGATCCCCTTTCCTTGGATGTTGTTCGTACTGAAAGGAATGGGCAATTTGGCACCCAGCTTAAGCTTGAGGGAAGCTAAAGGAAACCCATCCAAGGTCTTTCCTTTGATCCGAGATCCGAGATGCTCGTTAGGCCACTCTCCTCGTGCTCGTTTGGGCTCAAGTAGGGGCTCGAGCTGACCACCGGCGCCGCCGGAGGAGGGCCTGGAAGTGCTGCGGCCGGCCTGGGAACCCGAAGCGCCTGCTGCTGAGCATTTTCTGTGGACGAAATCCATTTCGCACCAAGCTGAACCACATGTTGCTTTGTTGGGCCCGCGGTGATGCTTCAGAAGGTCAAGGGAGCTGAACCACACCAAACCATAACGTTTCTTGGCATTTACAGGGGAATCATGGGGAATCTTCAGAATTCGAGGTTTCTTAGGCCCTAGGCCCTAGGCGCTGCGAAATGGATTTCGTCCATCCTTCCTTCGGGCCCCCGCAAGTGGCTCCCTAGTCGCTCCACACGTTTTGAGCTTCCCGCCCACCACGAAACCTCACGATTGTCCCTTTGGACGCCAAAGCGGTTCACAACCAGCCATGCCAGCTTCTCCAAAGCAAGCAGGCAAGCAAACCAACCATCCACCCAAACAAACAAACAAACAAAACAACAAGCAAGCAAGCAAGCAAGCAAAGCAAAGCAAAGCAAAGCAAAGCAAAGCAATTCAAAGCAAGCAAAGCAAGCAAAGCAAAGCAAAGCAAAGCAATTCAAAGCAAGCAAAGCAAGCAAAGCGAAGCAAGCAAGCAAGGCAACGGGCATGCAAGCGAATCAAGTGAGAAGTAAAAAGCGAGCTTCCCCCCTCGGACACACACACACACGGTTGTTTTTGTTCAAAGCCCGAATTGAGCGAGGATGGTCCGAGTTCTGCATTGGCCTTCTTTGAATCGTCAGAATATGCCACAAGAGGTCCCAGAAAGGCTCGCAAACTGGCAGCAGCAGGCGAGCTAGCTGGGAACACCGCGATGCAAATAGCCAAGCTGCGCTACATTTTGAACTTCATTGTCCTCCTCCTGATCAGGGGCTGGAACAGAACGACTGCCAAATGCTCGCTCAAAGGAAGGTCACACTCGATGTTCAATGTTACCTGCAAAACGCCTGACTTGCTCGATTTGGGAAAAGGGAAGTAGTCCAGCCAAGTCCAAAAATCGGCCCCAATTGCACGCCAAGGCCGACCTTGCTGAGCCGCACAAAATTGCCGTTCCCACTTCAAACGGAAGCAGCGGAGGCGGATGCTGAGCAACCAAGCGTGCTACATGGTGAGCCCAATTTGGATCCATTTGGCGCCCATAATTGACTGATAAACAACAAATGCGAAGCAACTGCAAAAATAATCCAAAGACAGAACGCACTTCCGGAGCTGCTTTTGCGGAAATGATTGAAACGCCGGGGCCCCCGGTTCCACATTTGGTGGGATCCGGTGCGCCAGCGACTTCCTGGCCTAGCGGCATCGGAGAAAAAAGCCGACAGTGTCCCAGAACAGCAGCCGGGCCATACGGGCCACACGGCAATACCTTCACCAGCCCGCCTTGAAGGCACCCCAACACGGAAGTGCACATGCTGCCTCTCCAAAAAAGGTCGCGCGCCAGGTTCGCCGCAAGGAAGAGCCAGGCCGCACGCCGGGCTCGCGGCCTCTGACGCCACTAAGGTACCGTGGGCTCGCCAAGGGTGGAACTGCACACGCTGGGAGCCGCAAACGCGCGCTGTTTGTAGGAGGCTGCAGGCGCCAAAGCCAAACCCGGATGTCTAAGTCAAGGGCAACAAGGAAGCCTCGCCCTTGCCGGGAGATGTCGTAAGCACCTCTGCACTTGCGAGTCAGACCAACTTGGGCATCAACAACCTTGGCCAAGGCTCAAGGCCCGCGGGATGTCTGCACAACAACTTGTTGCATTTGGTGCTTGGCTCGTGTGCTGCGGATTGTCGGCGCGCTACCGTGAAAAGGCGGCGTGGATGCCATTGCAGTACGTGCCCATGACCGCCCCTTTCTGGAAATCACGAGGGCCTTCCTGGTCGAAAGTTGTTTGCCATTTACCCCAAGATCGCCGGGAATTGTATGAAAAGGGCCCGACTTACTGGATGAGGCCCCCACTATTAATGGCCACACAAATATGCCACTGGTCAACTGGGCGCTCCTGCAAGTTCTCCATCTCGACCTCCAGCAAGCCACTCACCGCCGGCTGCAGGACAGTGGTGCGTCGACCCCGGCCAGTGACGGTGATCGGTGCTTCCTCCTCCATCACGTGCATTGGCACCTGCGGCCAGGGTGCTTCACTCAACAACAGCTCCTGCAGCGCAAGGGGGGGGAGGCGCTTGGGCACCAATCGAATGCACCATAAATGAATGTTGTTCTAGGGGTTGATTCCCCATTCTTGTCAACCATAGTTCTTTTCAAAAAGCAGCTGTTTCCCCAGGGTTGTTGGTGGTTTGGAAGAAGGATCCCTGGAAAGAATGGGGAAGCTACCCCTAGAGTTGTAGCTCCAGTTGATGTCGGGCAGGCCCAACCCTGAAACTGGGCTCCGTCCAGTCGAAAGGATCCGCCTTGCTTGCTTTCCGGGCTTGCCAGCCGGTATGAAAGCTTCCGCAGGTGCGAGGCACAGTCGAAAGAACAAAGAAACACAGTCTCCTCTGCATGTACGCTACGGCGCAGCATACGTTTGGCAGTTGGACAGATTGCATGCTACGGCATAGTATCGCAATGGAGCGAGCCGTGCACCTCCATTTGCTGAGGCCCCTTGGAAGAAAAAAACTGCATGTCCAAAAGTGATAGAGTCCCTGAAAGCCAACAGGGAAAAATCAACATGGCCTTAAGCAAATGGAAGTTGATACTACTGCAACAAACTATTAACCTATCCCCCTGTTCCCGAAATCACACCGTTGTGGCTGCCATTCGTGGAAAATAACTGCACTTCCTGGGCTGGCCACTAAAGCAATGCCCTCAGTAACACTGGGTTGCATGTGTGCGTCACAATAGTGGCAATTAAGCAAACTATGCGAACGCGCTACCCCAACAAAAACTACAGTGTTTATGGTGGCAATTTTAACCAGTTAGCCAATGATGACAGACTCAACTGTTGACCCCGCAGAGTCAGAGTCAAAGCTTGGTGAAGCACTCTTGATAAGGACAACCCCTATGTGTGGCATCTGTTTTCTAGGGGGACCCAAAATGGCTTCGGTTTTTCTCTTGGTTTCCTTTTAAAGCCACACCAAAACGGGTACGCTTACATATGGTACAGCGTTGCCAGTCCCCCCCCCCCCCTCCCAAAGGTCATGGGTCAGACAAGTACCCCCCCCCCCCTGTAGTTGTGGTCCTGTGGTTGGGTTGTGGTGGTTTAGGGTTGGCTTAGAATTGGTTTAGGGTATATTTAGGGTGTATTTAGGGTTAGTTTAGGGTTGGCTTAGGGTTGGCTTATGTTGATTTAGGGTTGGTTTAGGTTTAGAGGTGTACGGTTTAGGGTTTGGTTTAGGGTGCATTTAGGGTTGGTTTAGGATTAGTTTAGGGTTGGTTTAGGTTTAGGGTTTATTGTTTAGGGATTGGTTTAGGGTGTATTTGGGGTTAGTTTAGGGTTGGTTTAGGGTTAGATGATGGTTGGTTTATGTTGATTTAGGGTTGGTTTGTTTAGAGGTCTACGGTTTAGGGTTTGGTTTAGGGTGCATTTAGGGTTGGTTTAGGTTTAGGGTTTATTGTTTAGGGATTGGTTTAGGGTGTATTTGGGGAGTTTAGGGTTGGTTTAGGGTTAGATTATGGTTGGTTTATGCTGATTTAGGGTTGGTTTGTTTAGAGGTCTACGGTTTAGGGTTTGGTTTAGGGTGCATTTAGGGTTGGTTTAGGATTAGTTTAGGGTGGGTTTAGGTTTAGGGTTTATTGTTTAGGGATTGGTTTAGGGTGTATTTGGGGTTAGTTTAGGGTTGGTTTAGGGTTAGATTATGGTTGGTTTATGTTGATTTAGGGTTGGTTTGTTTAGAGGTCTACGGTTTAGGGTTTGGTTTAGGGTGTATTTAGGGTTGGTTTAGGGTTAGTTTAGGAATGGTTTATGGTGGGTTGCGGGTTGGCTTGTCCTGGAGGTGGGGGTGCCGGGGTGTCGGGGTGCGAGTTCAGGGGGTCGGGGTGGGGGTGGGACCGTAGGTGCCAGGATCCGGGGGCTCGGGGTCTTGGGCGGGGGGGGGGGATCCTGGGGGACCCGTACCATCTGGGGGGTGGGGGGGGGGTAGCAACAAGGAACACCGGACCATATATACACACACACACCTAGTTCCCACTTGGAACACGTTGCCCACCCATTCTGCTTCATACCCAAAAGACGTGCCTCGTCGAAAAGGATGTAAAAGACCTGCAGCCAGGGAATGTTGATGCATGTCAGCACGAGCCAAAGCTTCTGCCTTCTCCTCTTTGAAAGCATTCCTTAACTTAGATGTCACCCAACAGGCATACCATGAATTCTTCGCCTTCTGCTGGCGATGTTTAAGTCCACCCCTGGAGAAACATTGCTACCCTGCGGCAGGCTCAGCTGATATGCCCAACAGCATGAGGAACATTTACGTCATTCATCCCTGGACGCAGCAACGCCAGGCATTCTCGGGGAACCGCCCAATGCATTGTTGGAACATCCCGGAACCCTCACAACCGCACCTCATAGCCCCGGACAACCCCGGAGCCTGTCTGGCTAAAGCAAAGACCCCAGAGCTTTCAGCTCTTGGGAAAAAAAGAAGAGGGGGAACAAAACGCCTGAAACCCAAGCCAAAAGAAAACAGGCTGTGGGAAATTACCACTTCTGTGATACAACAAAAAGGGCTTCCCAAAGACTGACCCCTATAAAGAAGAGATTCCCAAAAGTATCACAGAAGTGGTTGGATAAACCGCGAGCGATCCCACAAGCCTCAAAAAGAAAAGGCCGAGCGATTCAGAGCCGAGGTGCGCAGTCCAGCCGCATTCCCCGCTCTTCCGCCGCCTGGACCGCTCGAGCTTGTTGGATCTGGGAGGCTGGGAAGGAACGAGTCCGTTTTCCAAAGGACCCACGTGCCACTGCGCTTTACATGGTTGAAGAAGCAGTTGGGAAATACATGAAATACATCCCCCCCTGTCTTAGTCATTGGGATTGAAATACACATCAAAGTTCGAGACGGTTTTCCAAAGTGAGTTACCACACACCCGAATCCCAACCACTGCTCCTGGTTGCCGTGGGGGGAGGGGGGGGACTTTGGATATGGGAGAGAAAGCAGTTGGGTGGCTGGTCAAAAGGGGTGAGCCAGGTGTCTATTCATTGTGGGCTCGCATTCTAGAAGGGACAGCTGACCTCACAGAAGACAGTGTGATCTTTTCAGTCAGTATCACAAACCTCGGTTGCCTCCTGCTCCCCTGCTAAAAGTTTAACTTTTAGTGGTTTAATATGGAAAACCCGTTAGTTGGCAAACAGTTAAAGTCCTAACATCCAAGCAAAATGCACCAAAGACATAGCGGCCACAAACCCAAATGCAACAGAAAGAAAGCATCGATCTTTAACGATAGCTTTACATTGGATTTAATTTTGGCCAGGATAGTGGCAACCTGAACCCCCAAAATTGCACCATGCACTTCCTGGACTAACGTCCCAGTTTGGCGGTAGATGATTCTCGGACATGGCTGTTGGCTCTACTACATGGCTAGCATTTACATCATTGGTGCAACTCTCGCGACAGCAGGCAGCAGAACCACCTACTAAACCAAGGCCTAAACTTTCGCACCAATTGTTCCCAGAAAGTCTACGAGCCTACCTTTGCATCACACCATGTACCAAAGAACCATCCAAGTAACATGGCATCCCCCTACCTTCAACAGGGGCGGTGGGGGGTCCCCAGTTCCATTTATCTAGTCTTCCCCATAAAAGGGAAAATGGAACCACAAATGGAATTCCAGGCGTCACCCCCCTCCCCAATTCCATTTTTCAGGGGGGGATCACATGGCCCTCGGCGCGTGCTCCACGTGCCAAGTGGCCATCAGGTTCTCTTCGCGCTCCTCTTCCGTCCGCAAGCCCGGAGGATACCTCACCGCGGCACCTGCACGGTTCGAGAGGGAATGAGAATTGGAATGACCCCCGGCGGGGGAAAAAAACATCCATCCTCTTCCTAGGGAAGCCCCTTCCGGTTCATTCACAAAACCCGGCCTTGGTCATTCCCTACTGAGCACCAGTAAGAAAGGGTGGGTGTTGCCTTTTGAGGTAGCCTTACTAGAACTCACTGCAAATATCTCGAAGTCGGCTCAAACGTGTGCTGCTTCAAGTGGCGCTGAGGGAATTCCATGAGCGTAGCCATACAAAAATGCAACCAACAAGGGGCACAAATCCCAAAACCTATACATATATGTATATATATATATATTCATATATAAATCCAATGTCCAGTCCTTTCAAGTCCAGCCTTCTCAAGGCCTTACTGAAGGGTGATCTGAAGCCCATCGCAGAAGCAATCAACTTCGCTTGTTCCTGTTGCAGCCAGTGGCCCATTCCAAAGAAAACAAAAAAGAACTGGAACATGTTGAATGATTCCATTTTTTGGAGGGAACCCGCCAAACTAAACAAATGGGCTTGCCTTTGGGAGTAGGCTGGGATTTGTGCAACCCATGATAGATCAAGCGCGTTTTTGGTGGTTCGCAAAGGAAGGTTGCTGCCCGTCGATTCATTGGTTGCAACCAGCCCCAAAAGAAACACACAAAACAACTGGAAAAGCCTGAGCCAAGCCACCGCTGGCTTCTAGGTCCCTGATCTTCTGCGCGATCTCCAGCAAGTTCCTTTCGAGACCCGATGCAACAACCAGAAAGCAACTTGCTGGCTGCCTGTGCCCCAAAAACAACACAACCAGCACCCGGGTCCCAACCACTACTTTTTGGACAGTACTTGGCATTGGGAAAAGCAGTTGTTGGTGGGTGCCGGTTGTGGTTGAGTAGCGGGAAAAACACCTGCATGCACTGGTGCTTCCTTCCAGGTTCACCCAAAACAACCCAAAGACCTGATGGGCAAAAAAACCAAACTTGGGCCGAGCTTTTGGAGGCCCGGAGCAACACTGTGCTTGTTGCTCGCGGCCATCTTGTCCATGCGATTTTCTTTGTTGGGCAACGATCGTTTCAAAACATGTAGGCGATCCGCTCGAGGTTCCTTCTGTGACCCTGGGAGGGAGAAGAGGAAAGAAAAAAAAAACGCGCGTACTTCCAATCGGGAGTTCGAAGCAACATGCTGGACACCTCTCTGCCTGCCCGCCCCGCCCATTCAGCTGGCGGTTCATAAGCCGGGGGGCACCCACAGAACAACATTCACTATAGCAAGCCAAGCAAACTCTCGCCATCTGCAAGCGAGGCGCTCATAATGCCGCTGCTTCCCAATTTCGACCATCATCCAGTCGACTCCTGGGTGCTATTCAGAATTCAGACCCATCCGGGCAAGTCATAACATCCACCCACTTGAAAGAGGGAATCCTCTGGAAAAGAACCTTCGTCAAGGGTGAGCTCGTTTTCTCCTTGCCCAAATGCATACTCATACCGCCTTGTTGGGAGCGCCCATGGTCTGGATCCTGCACTGACCTATTCGTCAGCTTAGTGCAAATTGCGTGTGTGTGTGTGCCACTGAAACACCTTTACAAAACGTCTAAAGTCCACTCAAACAATGAGCTATTTGACGAACCACCCAGTTCTTGGCTCCGGGCCAAAGGCTGTCAGTTGACAATGCTGCTCAGTTGGTTTGCCTCAACATGGCCTCACCAATTCGCACAAACAGTTGAATGGGAACCCAGTACTCATACACCCTGGCTGCATGGTTACTGGGGCTGTCCGATTCTGCCGAGCCCTTCACTCGGGGAAGCACCTCTGGCTCGGGCCAGGTCTCGAGTTTGCCCTTTCCAAGGCTGCACAGAAGAATTGTCCGGTTGGGTTGAGAGTGTTCTTTGGGTTTCCTTGGTCGCCCAGACCGTCTTGGATACTCCCTTTCTAACAATCGTTTTTAAGATGATGGCAGTCTTCTAAAACCGCCCTTAGTGCACTTTGGTGATTGTTTAGCTTGCCAATTACGAGTCGCCAAGCCTGCCATATGAGACACGTAGATATGAAGCTGAAGAAGCAGCCACAACCAAGCATACCCTGAAGAAATGTGAGCAAATATGTTGCATCCTTCTTGCTATATCTAGTTCGCATCCGGAACATGCGCTCGACTTCTTTGTTCCGATGGTGCCAAAATCACATGGCATCCAATGGCTCAATAACTGGTACTTTGGGCTGGTTAACCATCACTGAACCCATGAAGAACAATTCAAACGCCTTGGTTTCAAGCAGTGAAAATTAGCCGGGGAGCCCACTCCACCCACATATGCAATGAAGGTGACAACGTTACCACAACACGGAAAGGATCCGAAAGGGAATCGCCCGAAAATGATACGTCAACCTGCAACACCAATAGGAAATGGACCACCCAAAGCCTGTACCCTCGTAATATTGTCTGTGCTCCACCTCAAAAAAGAGCTCAACCCCCCAACAATGCACACAACGCATTTGGTTTCAATGCGGTTTGAAGCTAGGCCCCACTTGAAGGCATCTAACTTGCCCCTGTGGGCTTTTCAAAAGCATTGATCGCTACCAACTCGCAACTGTTTCTTGCTGGGATTCCTTTCAAACATCAGGGGGGGCAACCATTTTCAGGCCAAAGCCCCAGCCCTTCCAGAAGCTGAGCCCTGCGCCCGCCAGGGTGGTGAAGAAGTACTTGGCCAGTGCCACGCCTGAGTCAGGGGAAAAGACCTCCCAGTGTCAATTGTCCGTGGACAAAAAGGCCGGTAGGCCTTTGAAAACCATCTTTAAATGCTGGAAAAGCGTCCCTTCAAGATTCAAGCACGAAAGAAGGCTGGAGGGCCTGATGATCCCATGGGTTCTGGCGGAAAAGGATCGACCTTCAAAATTCAAGCCATTCAATTCGAGAGTGTGCAGCTGAAGTGAGACATCCCCAGACATTTGAGTAGCATCCAAAAAACAGCAGGAATAGGAAACCGCAGATGGTAACAAAGTGTGCAAACGAACCTGGCAAATCATGAAGCAAGGGCAAACTAACCTGTTCTTTTTTCTTGGTCCTCGATGGGAACCTAAGAACAAACGCCCCGTGATTGAAAGGAAGTGTCCCAATGAGGATGCCACCAGCTTGGTTGGACAATCCCAGCCTGCCAGCTGCAGCCAAAAGCTAGGCTGCAGCACTGCGACCTGCTCACTCGATCAGGTCGCGAATCCGGAATCAGGGCCGGCAACACAGAAAAACGCACCGCTGCCCGCGTGTGTTACAATAGGGGATCACCCATCTTCTTAAAAGTGACCTTCCTAAAACAAACAGCCATCAAGACGTAGCCTGCCAAATCAACAAATGCTGGCTCAACTGCAGGAAAATACTCACCCCCTGTTGGCTTGCTTGTTGAAAACAAACGAGCCCTCAATTTAGCACCCAAGGAGTTTGCCAGATAGTCAACGCAGGGGTACGCCTAAGCACTTCTTTCGGCTGTTGGCACAACAGCGCTGAAACCAGTCAGCGCAGGATACACATAGTACGCCTAATCACGTGTTTGGGCTGTATGAACAGGCTGAAACCAGGAAACTTTCATAGTCAGCGTAGGGGTACCCCCAATCACGTGCTTGGGCGGTAATTGTGAACAACAGTGCTGCAATCAGGAGACCCCGGAGACACCCATACAGTCAACCACGCCAGTTGGGGAACTCCTTCTGCTCACAGTGTCTTAGCAGTCGGTCTGTGGGAGTGAGGGGGTTTGGAAATGCAACTGTGATACCGGGGAACTTTTCGTTAGGGAAACAGCCCTTGGAACTGGCTGGTGCATGGAAACCCTATCGTTTGCTCGTTGTTTTGTGCATGTGGTGAACCGCCCACCCAAACTCCCGCGCCTGCTGCACAATGTACCTGACTCGCACATGGCTTCTCATGAAATAAGGCACCCCCTAATAAAACTCCCCCCTCCCCCCCACAAAAAAAAAGAAAGAAGAAGCACGTGCAAAGCAGAACCACTCAGTGCCACTGGAAGACTTGTAGGCATCTCGCTCCACGCTGTTTTGGTCTGCCGGCTCGCTGGAGTCTCCCATGGTCAGCTGGTAGCGTTTCCAGGCAAAGGTGCAGATGAAGACCTGCCCCGAAGTGCGAAGCCCAGAGAATGGCGACCCCATATTCATCCACCCCCAGGTTCATAATTTAGGGGGTGCCCCTGGATTTCGTGGATTCGGAATCACCCCTAATGAACTGGGGCTCATTCGTATGGGCTCAACATGAGCCCCCCGCCCTTCCATGATTTCCCATGCACGGGAAGGCGTATGGCCCATGGCTCTACGGCCCCCCTGCCATACACTACTTAGGCGGGAAAACTGCGCCGGCAACGGTCTGGAGATGAACGGTGGTCGCCTTGTCACTTGGCTGCAAAACATTTGGGTCACAGGTCGATCTTCTTTGCCAGTGAGAGTGGGGATGGTCCTCCTTTTTCAAAAGCTCAACAATCATGGAAGTGGGCAGGTGGCCTTGTCACAAGAATGGTAGTCTTCCAAACTACCCTGTCCACTTCCATGATTCTCAGAAAGAAACGCGTTAAGAAACATTGTGCAGCAAGCTCCAACAACTTGCATGGCAGAGGTGGGTGGATGCATCTTTGCGGGCAACGCAAAACCTAGAGCCAAGAGCCCTGGATACCTAACTGGAAGCACTAACAGGGGGGCTGGAACCGGCGGAACGTCGAGCCTCTTCTGAGACGGAAAGGCGGTTGGCCAGTGGCAGGTAGAGACTGAATGGAAGGTTGCCGCCAAATAACTGGGAAACTCAACTGGCTGTGGCTCAAAATTAAACAGGGGGGGGGGGGGGGGTACGCGGGTTTTGGTCCATGTTTCCACTTACCAGGGTTTCATTTTGGCACCGGTTTTTTGAGCCACAGCCAACTAAAGAAAGCATCGCCAAAGTCCTGCCCTCAAACCTGTTACTCAAAAGCTCGGAGCTCAACCAAACCTCGGCCGACCGACGCCGAGAGACGTAGCCAATGATGGCAAGGATCGTGGATGCGCGATTGATGCCTTAGGCTGGCACTTCCAATGGTCTCTCCAAGCCACCCCTTAGAATCCTTCTCAGTCTGCCAAGCAGGAAAAAGGTTATATCGCATAGCCCTTTCTCCGTAGGGCCAGCGGTGCGGTGATAACAGCCGCCTCATCCAACACAGTCCTGTTGTTTGACCCTGGTTTGCTGATTGAAATTCCAGAATGCAAAGTAACCAGCCCGAGGGACATATCAACTTCAGCATTGTTCCCTTGTGAAATGCTTGGTGCACGTATTATTCAGTGTAAAATGCCTTATATGGACTTTCGGACCCTTGCTTTACACCGGAAACAAGCCCGGGTAGATGTAATTGCACATGACTAACAGGAAAGCATACCAAGTTGTTCCCTTGTTCTCTGTTAAGCCGGGAGAACTATGTTGGACACCAGGCAGTTGGGGGCTCTTTGGAAAATGCCCGCTTGGGGAGTGGTTCTTGGATTCCTCCCTCAGCTAGCAGCGCACAAGATTTGAGACCCATCACTGAACTGGTCGTCCACAAGGCAGGCCAGAAAATCTTGCCAGGTTCAGACGTGAAGCTCACCATGACTTTGGCGATGGCTTTGTCCGTCAAAGGCCTGGTGATGGAGTAGTACGTGCCCAGAGCCAGGTAGACCTTAGTGGCTTTGGGACGTTTTGGACAGTACGTGCCCCTTGTTCATGCCCCCATGGCTTCCTGGTTGTTAACCAACTTTGCAATTGCATTTGACAAGAGAGTCCCGGTCGTTGGTCAAGAGCAAACGCCAGGCAAGAGTTGCTGTTCTTTCTCATCGGTGACGGTCTTGGGGGTCAATCCGTCAATATCGTCAATCCTCTGGCTTTGGCCCAGTCGTACAGGTCAGAGGTTGACCCACACATTGCACCATGCGAGGCCCTCCATGTTCTGCTTTATGTCCTCATCCCTGGTCGCCAACCAAATAATGAACCCTGATTCTATCGTGTCCTTCCCCTCCCTGCTAAAAGCAATCATGTGCATGCTTAGACGTTGGCCCATATCTAGTGAATCTGGTGAACTTTGACTTCATTCGAGAGCTCAGGCCAGGCCGTTGATTTGCCTTCATCCTCATCCCGAAAAGGGGCCGGGCCATCTCTTTGCTTTCAAACCATTTTGACAACCTCTCTTCAAGTCTTGGTGCTTGCTGTCTGGGCCCCTGGTTGGGGTGGCTTAGTTGAAGGCTCGTAGGGGGTGCCTCTCTAGGCAGACCTGAAGTTCGCTTGACATTGGATGGTTTTGGTGTGGAACAGGGGCATGTTCTCTAAACATGGCTAGGTTTAGTTTACAAGAGGTCCCTCTACATAGGGATGGTTTCACAGTCACATATCCTCAAGGCTTGGGACCCAAACAAAGGCGATGTCCCGCACGGTTTCTTGCAGTCCCTTCGGCTCGGGGGGCGGCTTGAAACTCTCGCTCCGCTTCCATGCTGAAGCGGCCATGGGAGCAAAGGCCAGCACCAGCAGCCCCAAGAGCATCCAAAGGTCCCCCACCAGTTGGAAGGCGATGTGGTACATGCCTTGCCGCAATTGCCCGGGTAAACTTTGAGTTTCTCCCATGTGGCTCTGGGAAGATTGGCCCTTGAAGTGCCATTAAAAGAAAATGTTCACTCACCAAGCTCCCCTTGAGGGAACGGAGGCCACTTTGTCAAAGGCTCAACGGGAATCCCGCGTCAAATGGCCTGCGTAGGGCACCCAAAGGGTTATTGAAAGCGCCAAGGAAACTCGCTCGCTAAAAGGATCTGGAAACAAACCGGTGAGCACCTTCCGGAACCCTGACTAAAGAATGGACCAAAACGAGCAAGTCAGTTGATTAGTACTAGGCAGCGGACTCGTCCGTAACCCTACACCCAAAGTTCCTGCTAAGGGTCCGACTAGATGTCTCATCTAACATCACCAGTCCATAAATGAAGACTTGACCAAATGATATGTCACCCACCCAAAAAGGCATCGAGAATTGCCCCCACCTACCCCGCCCCCCCACACGAAAACCTCTCAAATGGTTCTTTCTGCACGTCTGGTTTTGGATGAAGACGCGCGCCTTTCTCAACCAGATTCCCGTTTGAAAGCCGCTGGTTCCCCCGCAGAGCCAAACAAATGCCTTGCCTCTGCTGGATCCAAATGATAGTTGACACAAAGGCCCCAAGCTCCTGTTCAAAGGCAAAACCACAAGGGGAAGAGCTGAACCCTGCCTAAAATCCACACCATTTCGCCTGCTGAAAACCCCAATCTCAGTGCCAAGTATCCCCAAGTCATGGGACAGTAGAGCAGCGGCAGAACTACCACCTGAAGGAGGGTCGACAAAGCAAGCCGTTGCTCACCTATTCTTATCCAGAGGGCATCTTGGTACCTGTTGAGGATGGCTTTTTGGGGGTAAAAAGGGCTCTCCGAACCCTGTTGGGGAAAAACTCCTATGGCTTCATGCCTGGAATTTCGGGGAATCGCTGGTTCTAGCCCTCGATCGGTGAGCTTGCGATGTTGCCAACCCAAACGCCAAAATGGCCCTTTCCCCCAGCCCTATGCGGCCAAGCAAATGCCTTTGCTGCCAAGGGTGGTCCTTTTGACACGTTGACACATACACCACCAAAAGCAAACCAAATCCAGCTGGGAGTCGTGCACTTTCCAATGGAGCCGAACACAACTATGACCTGGCTCAGATGCCAAGGTCTTATGGAAACCTTACGTGTTGGTCCACAGCTGGCTCGTGCCGCTTTGACGGCCGGGTTTCTTATTTGGGCGTTGTTCTTCTTACAGGATCCTACGCCCCCTCCCCACCCAACCCTCCCCTCCCCCTGTACGCCAAATGAACCCCGAAGGCCATATTGACCTTGTGATCAGTTTCAGTCCTCCGGTTCAGGCCTTTCCTGTGAGGTCATGGCCCAAAGCAATGCTTGCTGCATGCTTATAAATTGCCCCGATCCTGGCGGATGAGTGCTCGATGTGTCCAAGAGTCATCTGGATGCCCCCAAATGGGGCGTGTCTTGTTGCCAGTTGCCACTCCCCGGTCCAATAACAGCCCATGAGGGGTCGCAAGCCCGATTATTGTCAGGTTGACAACGGCTTGTCCAGGATCGGATCGAAAAAGGAGAGCCAGCTATAATTATGCCCAACAGCTCTGCACATGTTCTCTTTTCGCCACAAATGCATCTCATAAGTTCTGTTTCACAAGGGTTGCTCTACAACAATTGCAGGAATTGTGCAATGACCAGCATGTATCTGTCTGGATGGCTTGAATAGTACTGCTATCTGATCAGCCATGCCGTCACGCTCCTCCAAGAAACATGGACAAGGGGCCTTTTTTCGAGGATGGTAGTCTTCTCAGGAGGCCTGGTGCACTTGCATGTTTGTTGGTGGGAGGGTTCAGCATGCCTAAATTTACGATTGTTAAAAGACGGTTGCTTTCTGCTCCCCTGCTAAAAGTTTAACTTTTAGTGGTTTAATACGGAAAACCCATTCGTTGGCAATAAGTTAAAGTCCTAACATCCCTTGGCAAAATGCGCCAAAGATAAAAGACCGTATATTTTTCCGGACCCAACAAACCAACTGCCGGTCCGCAGCCAGGCAGCGAACATCCCCGGGATGGTCGACTGGGGTGCAGTCACCTGGCTCAACGCGCCCCTTCTATTGGCAGGCACGCGGAACCAACACTGGCGACTTGACTGATAGGCCAGAGGCTTCACAGTCCACTTTGGGTCAACCAGTAAGGAATCTCCCTTGGGATGTAATCTGTTCGATTTTATGAGTGAGCTCGTTTAACCCTAGTTGACCTCGCTGACCCCGCATACGGCTCTCAATGCCCAAGCAGCGCCTGTAGATTCCCATAGCCGGAAAGGATCGTAAGCAGATCAACCCAAACCCCAAACGAGTAGCTCAGTATAATATGGCCGCCTGCTTTGGAAGTGGAAACAGTTTGCGAATATCTGCCAAACAAAGAGCAGCAGCAGCAACCACCAAGCAAGCACACCCAGCCAGCCAGCAATCAAGCAAGCGCAAGCAAGCAAACCAAAAAAGCAAGCGGGCGAGCAAGCAGGGAAACAAGCAGCAGGCAGGCAGGCAAGCAAGCATCTAAGCAACCAAACAGGCATCTAACGTAGAGTCAGGGCAACATGAAGCGCAGCCTCCAATCCAAAAACATGATGTTTGAGGAAAGGGATGCCATGCCCCGAGTTCCAGCGCTGCCACGGCGTCCTTTGTCAAAAATGACTGACAGGCCGAAGCAATTGCTAGAACACAATCCAGGTTCTCATGCGTTAGGTAAGCCAAACAATCATGCATCTCATAAACAGCAACAAAGACCTGGCTAACAAATAACACCAACAAAACAAACACGCAAAAGAACAGGCAGTAGCCAGTGACCTGCCATTCCTTTTCGAACCAAGTGCAGGGCTTCGAATCTATCTCTCCTGACATGGGGCCCTGTGAGCAAACTTCAGCCACCACAAACTGAGGTGTGTTAAACCTCCAACAACTGCAATGACATGTAGAGACCCTCAAATCGTAGCGTAGTCCTCCCCTTCAAGCTTGGAATTGGAGGGGCAGAGATACCAAGCACAACAGACATCAAGTCACATCAAGTCACTGTACTTGAACACTGGACATAGAGCCGGAATAACTTAAATTGCGTATTTGGGAATCTTGTTCGGAAAATTGGGAAAATGTGTGCGACTTAGTGGGGCCTCCGTATCTTAGCAGCATGCTCGGCCTCGACTCGTTCTCAAAGCGGTCAGACTCCCCAAAAAGTCGGATCTACTGGCCGAAAAGTGTTCAACTTTCTGGACCTGGGTAAAACATGAAGATTGTCGACGAAGAGTTCAAGGTTTGTCAGGCAGGTGAGGTTGTATCATTGCTACAAAGCAACAACCCTAACAGTCCAACAAGGAAGATACATTAGGTTAATAACCACATGCAGGCATGGACTTGATAGCTGCACTGCATGGTGAATATTGGATTTTACTTCTAGGGCACAAGCGCGTTCCGACTTCGTGGCTCCAAGCTCGGATGTCTCCCGCCTTGACCTTGAGCGCCCCTCGCAGCAGCGCTGGGGCTAATGCCAAAGCTGCCGGCCTGCGAATGCGAAGCCCTCACTGAAAGTCGGGAACTCCTACCTTCCGAACGCTCCTGATTTTGGGCCATCTTGGTTGGGACCTCAACCTAGGTCGGGATTTAGATGCCGGAAAAAAGCTGCACGGTGCAAAGCAAATGATCTCCCGATTTGCCGGCAGCTTAAAGAAGCCAAGGCACATGATGGTGTTGAAGCCACGAAGCCTCGAGAGGGCGCGGGGTGGGCGCGGCTCTGTGTCATGGATCCCCTAAAGGAATCCTTTCATGGCCTAAAATCCCAAACGGGTTGATGACCATCCGCAGGGCAGGGGGGTAGGCTTTGGTGGCACTTAAGACGCAGGGGCCCGTTCCAGGGCCCGGAACGGGGGGTCCCAAACATTTCCAGCCTGAAACAGGGAACTCTGCAAAGGACCTCGGCCCATCCTTCTCGGCTTTCGGGGCGGCGTGGTGGGTTTCTGCCCGACCTCCGGCTGTTGCTTCCTCGTTTGAATTTGGCTGGCCGGTGTTTGAAAGCATTCACGTTTGCCAAATCAAAGCTGCGCCCGGTCAGCCCACCCAAGGCGATCGCAGCTCCCGGCATAAAGCGCCAGTCTAGGCCCCGCGCCCATTCGCCTCAGCGTCCCGCGTCAGGTCAAATCCCATAGGGCGAGCAAAAAGGGATCATGATAAATATATGTGTTCTTGTAGCAGCGATCCGGCAACCAGATTCAGATTTCTTGCAGCTGGATAAATGCCAAAGAAAAAATCGACCTATGGCCATGGAAAAACCCTCCCGTTCCTTTCATCTTGAGCCAAAGGGACAGGATGCCCCTGGGCACCTGGGACTGATTTCTGTTTGGCTTCCAAGAACCCTGCGAATCATAGGTGGCCTTATGGAAAAATAGATGGCCCTGGTAAATGGGATAAAACCCACCTAAACCAGTGCCATCTATTTTTAGCCACACGAACCTAAAAAGGAAGGACATCTATGCTGGGAATCGTTGTGCTATCATAAAACGGAAACGGAAGGCAAGGAGCAACCCTTGGACATGAGCTAGCCGCCCGTTCAACATACCCACACTGTTGCCACATTCGGATCAAAGGGTCCCGCCCTTTTAGTGCGGGCAAGTCGCAAATCCCATGCCCATGGAAACGCTCTGCCTCGGTACTCGAGGCTTCTGAACTGATCATCCTGCTGCCCATCAGAGAAAGAGATCTCGGCTTTAAAAAGTTATCCTCCATGGTTGCCTCTAACAGAAAATCTGTGGACAACACCAAGAAACATTTACCCCTTTCACATTTATCAGGAGAAGAGGGGTGCAGTGAAAACAATGTCGTTCATGTTCATTCATCGCGAAACTGAGTTAGGAATCCTTAATAGAACTTATAACGCCCAGAATCGGCCGTTTACCCCTCAAACTAACAAGGCAACACGGATCAACATGAAACCAGTGATCCTTTAAACTTTTAATTGTTTAAAAGGTAACTCCGTCCCCCTCAAAACAAAAAAAAGTAAAACACACAAATAAAAGAAACAAACGAACATGAGCAACCCCCCCGGTGGCTGAAAGAAAGCGGCCAGGCTGCTTCATGCGCTGGGCCACGGGCCCAGCGGATGCCGCCACCTGCAAGGCGTTCTCGAAGCCCAGCTCGATGGTGCCCTGCCGAGACTCGCTCGCCACTGGCTCTGGGTCCAGATTTGCGAGGGTTTGGATAAGGTGGTACCCGATTTGTTGTGTTCTGTCTATTCTAGTAGGGGAACCCCCCCCACCAAAAAAGGGGGTGAGAATGGGCACCGGGGGAGCTGCCCAGCTTCACTTGCTATATCTGCCCGGTTCACTGACCCCCAGGCACGCCCAACAGGCGTGCCTGGGCCACATGGGGAGCCAAGGAAAGAAGAGACTCTCCACCCCAAGGGTCTTGACTCGATTTTGGGGCCTCATGGGTTGAGGGAGGAATTGGTCGCTTTGGGTTCTCCACTGGAGACTTGCTTATTTAACTTGCTGATGCTTTTTGAGTGAGGGCTCGGGGTTCTCCAGAGGGCCCGGGGGTCAGCATTGGAGTCATGACCCTTAGGGCACTTGCTCAACTTGCCATCGGTGCGATAGGCAGGGAATGAGAAAAATACTTCCGGGAGACTTGAAACACACAACGGGACACATCCTTCAGGAAAAGAGACATGGAAGAAACTGAGTCGTAATCAAAACTTTGTCCGCAACCAGTTTGACCCGCTCTGCGAATGGGAGGCGTATCCTAGCTGACCATACTGGATTAGTCAACCTGGCGGATTTATGCCGGTTTTTTATCCTGTAAAGCGAAGGATCCCCAAATGAGACGCCCAGGGGTTTGCATGGGTTGTGGAAAGCGGGGGGGGGGTCCCTAGTAGGTAACCCGTGGGATACCACCACAGGGATCAAAACCACTAGCATCCGGCAGGATCTTGCGGGTTGACTTTCTTCAACCCGGATAAATTTGGACTCCTCGGACCCCTGGGGTCTCAAGGAACACGGGCCTGACAGGAAAGCAAAAGCGTTAAACGGTCGAAAAAGAAAAACGCTGGTCGACACCAGGGGGGATTCTCCAAAACAGCTGGTATTCTCACTTCCTGAGTGACATGGCACAAAAAATGGTATTCCTCAAAAGTTGCTGGAGTCCAGAACTCGGGAACTGAGTATTTGACATTGACTGGCCCTCGCTTCCTGAGTGGATTAGCCCAACAAATCCTGATGCTTTTCTTTGCCATAAACAGGGATCCTTACATTATACACCTGAACATTGCAACTTGTAAATGGTGGTTTCCAACTTTATTTTGGTGTTGAAAAAGCAACATGGTTCAAATGGTTACAAAAGGTATCGATCTTTTTTCAGGAGCCCTGATAAAATTGAGACGAAAGTGCGAGTTCCGGAACTCGGGGACTCGGGGAGTGTCGATCTGGGCGCCTTCAGGTTGGGCATCACCGTGTCCTTGCAGAGCGCCACAGCCTGCTCGAGCGCCGCCTTGTGCCAGGGCCCTTCCTCGGCTCCGATGTCCGAGCAACAAAAACGCGAGGCAGGGGACTTCCCAAAAAGGGCCCCGAAACTCGGCTGCTTCCCCCTGCTACAAGTCTAACTTTTAGTGGTTTAATACGGAAAGCCCATTAGTTCGCAAAAAATTGAAGTCCGAACATCCAAACAAAATGCAACAAGATAAACAAGGAGCTTCTCCTTCAGATGTTGGGTTGAGTACCCAATTGCTAGTTGTGACGAGTACTCGGTCCGAAAAAGAAAGCAACAACCAGAGACAAACACTGGCCTCGATGTCCTATATTTTGCTAAGTACAGTACGCGTATGAGCCTGAGGGGTATGGAAGCTTGAACAGCAGGTATGGCCCCTCTAAGCCGCCAATACTTTGGAAGCAAGGATCAAACTGACGTCATCTGATTGTCCAACTGAGGTGCTAGCTCCCAACCTCAAAAAGGCCTGGATTATACACGGTATCTTGAATGGGGGGCCCTAGGATCCCTAATCCTAATCCGTAATCCGCAGTGCTGACACCACACCAACGGAAATCACTACCACTTCGCATAAGGGTTCAGAACTTGAACAACCTACATACATACCCCCGCGTCCAAGCTTGTCTTTCCCATTCTTTCGCATTTCCGCACGGGGGTCGGGCTGGTTGAGGTAGTCTTCGATTTTCTTGCAGTTGCTGTGGATGGGGCGGAAGTCGAAATCCACCTTGAGGCCCCGATGCGCTAGCGCACAGAATCTCCGGGCCCACCAAAGCACGAACAGGACAACGGCGCCACTGCAAGGGCCAGCTGCATCACATGTCGAGCATAGGATAAATAGGACAAACAAGCAACGGCCAAGGGGTTGGGATACCAGCGAATCTCTACGTTGAGACGTTCTCTGGGCAAGCGTGTTTCCCGTAACCAAACCTTTTCACATAGGCGCGAGCAAGGGAGCGTTGCATCTTCAAGAGCTAGACGCACCGAACAACTCTCCATCCAAGCCCCCGATGTGTGTATGGCCGGTGCCCTTGCAACAAACCGCAGAGTTCCAATGCACCTGGTGCAGCAGAAGCAGGCAACCATACCTTGATCTTCCAGCCACCCGCCAAAAAACAGTCGTGCAATACACCATCCGCAAAAGCAGGTGGCTGTCAAATGCTACCGGTAAAATTTGGGTTTGCAATGCTGGCCTGGCGGTACTTGGCTGCGAGATTTCACGGCGCTAAATCCGGCCCACATGTGTGATTTTACGCGATCTTGTTCGTGAAAGGCAGATTGCCGCGCCAGGCCCGAATCTGTGATATTGCGAGACTTCCTCTACATCAGGCCCGAATTGCACGATGTCCTGCGCTTTATCCGGCCTATACCCGCGAGAATGTGTCAGCCATGACGGTCGAGAAAACTACAATTCCACAACCTCAATGTCTGGACCAGCCATCACCCAAATGTTCAAAATGATACCCTCCCTCCCACTAACATAGCAACTGCTATGTTGGGCACCTGGAAGATCAACATTCTTCTTCAGGGACCCTCTGCCAGGTGCCATGTTAGTGAGAGTGAGGGTACTTTGTGTGAGTAAACCCTGAGTCAAGCCTCTGAGTCTCTAAGTTCCGAAGCGTCGAACTCATGCTCCCGGGCGCACGCCTTTACCATTGACTGACTGATGCACCGCCAAGTGACCTGTCAATTGTTTGAATCTGAGGGACCCATTAAACTCACTCATTGACCAAACATTCAATGACACTTGGCGAGAACGATTGTGATACAGGCGCGCAAGAATCGTGACTGAACCGTGAATCAAACATGACCACGTTTTGGCAGGAATGGTCGATCTCCCCGTGGCTCCTCAATCATTCGATGCAGTTGACTCCATGCTACAATGCCTTTAGCATATATCACCATTGAAATTATCAATATGCGCAGGGCAGGTAAAACACCTCATTCAGGGCGGCCAAGGAACACACCCAAACCCTCTAGATCAAAGCCGCGCCACAACTGATATGAAGGAGCAGCACTTCAAGTGCCGATTCCTTAGCTGCATGCGGCTGCGTGGTGGGCTACTGGCCGGTGCCCAGAAACCAGGTGCAGGTCATCCTGCCCAACATATTGAGATTCATGCGCCAAATCAAATGCCGGGTGATTGCCGCCACTTCAGCGTTTCAACACGCACACACACACACCAAAAGTAAATATTCCTTGATAAGCAGTGGCTCGTATTCTATCCACCTGACCACTACCCCAAAACAGGGATCCTTACATTATACACCTGAACATTGCCTTGTAAATGGTGGCTTCTCTTTATTTTGGTGGAAAAAGCCATGTTTCAAATGGCTGTAACATGAATATTTTAAGGAGCCCTGCAAAAAATGATGGTTTCCTGGAGGTCTGGTGGAACAGGATGCGTTATGGAACCCTGTGAGGGCCATCTTTGATTATTTTGGTCTTTTCTCACGAAACGGGCGAATCCTTCGGCAGACGATTGCCTGAAACGAGCTTCAGAAGCGTAAACATTTCAATAATCTGCCGGAGGGCTCAATGTTTGCCAGCCAGCTTGTTGGGTTCGCACGTGTTTCGGCCACAAACGTTTCGCCCTTATTGGGCGAGTCTTCGTATTTGTGGCCTGGTTTGGTAAACGTGCGTACGTGCAGGCAGGTCTTCTTATCGGTTGCTTGGAGTGCATACACTTAAGCCTGCCGCGCATGGCTCGTTGCAAAGCAATTGGAGGAGTGTCTCATAGAGTGCTTTGTGGTTTGCAGCCTGGCGGACATCACGGAAAAGCTGGCAAACCACACGTCACAAAGTTGCGAGTCGGATTCCGCGCGCAGGATTCCAACCACTGGTCTATCTCTTGGGGTGAAATGCCCGGGTTGGCCCGGCGACTCCTGTTGTTCCATGGCTGCATGGTGGAGTTGCCGGGAGTATCGGTTTGCCCATCCTTGGCCGTCCCCCTACATTCCCCCCAAGTCTGATATGAACATGGTCATCTTTGTTAATACACATGTCAAGTGGTAAACAAAAAGGGGTTGCAACCATGATGGCTGCTTGAATTGCATCATGACGAATCAAATGTATAAAGCAAAAAGCAGGGAAGTAGGCTGCCTTCTTTTGACAAGTTCATCTTGACCCCAAAAGGAAGCTCACTTCAACTACCCGAGATGTGGGTCAAAAATAAGCACCCAAAATGGAACCCTGGTAAGTGGAAACAAAGACTAAAACCAGCAGTCCTCTGGTGGTTTCATTTTGACCCATACCCAAATGAATTACTGGTCGGCTGACCCCTGGAAAGTCAATGCTTCAGTGGGAGGAAATACCGGCTTTTTGGTAGCGCCCAGCTACGCAAACGAATCCGAAAGGAGGCTGCTCTGTAAAATGGCATGCCAAGCCCTCTGCTTCGCCCCAAAAAATGTTCGGCCGATTCGGATCCAAGTATCCTACGCAAATGAAGTTGAGCCATTGGGGTGCTTGAAATTGATTGATGCTGTGACCATAGACGCGGCCAAACCTTCAGAACCATGCTTTCCACCCCTAGTAAGTCAATGGTTTTCACAACTCATTATTTTTCGGCCCTTGCACAAACGGCTGTGCTCAAACATAAATACCCAAAACGGAACCCAGGTAAATGGAAACATGCACCAAGGCCTGCGTTCCGTATCCTGGTGGCTCAATTTTGACCCATAACCCAAATGGCAGGTGGCAGGGGCCCGGTAACCTACCTTGCACCCGTCTGTTTTTTGTCTGAGTCGCGGCGTCTTCTGCAGTGCATTGCAGGCCTTCCTGGCGATACACGAAACGATCAACATGCGAGAGGGGCCAGCGAGGGATGAACTTCACTTCACAACCCTTGGATGCCCTTGCCAGAAAAAAGAAAACAGCGCGGACTGTTTTTTTGGCAGCTCCCTACTAAAAACTACCAAAAAGGAACAGAACCAAAACAATGGAAAACCAAACAACCTGCCAAGAACAGCGAAGTTAAGAATTGAACGGTCCATTTGGGGTGGGTACTCACAGTTCTTACCACATACCCCACTTTAGGGTTCAAGTTGGAGGAAACCCAAACGGAATATACCCACATGTTGGCGTTGGCAGAACCGACTCACAGAGCTCTCTTGGCCTTGGGCCCGCCAAACTTGGCCATTTGACCCTTTGTGCACATGGGCCCGGGCAAGAAAACGCCAGACGAGAAGTCGAGTCCCGTCTGGCAGTGCCAGAGGCACAACACCGTCTGGCAATGCAAAGGTTCCGTCTGGATTGGAAGGATTGGACTCGGAAAGCGCAGCCAACAGGGATCCGGATGCATACACCTGAACATTGCAACTTGTAAATGGCGGTTTCCAACTTTATTTTGGAGTTTCAAAAAGCAACATGTTTCAAATGGTTGCAAAATGGCAGATCTTTTTTAAGGAGCGCTGAAACAACTCGCTTTCGCCTGGCCACCCGCCTGGCCATGCGCTCGGCACTCTCGGCTTTGCCCGACTCTTTGAAGTCCACCACTTGCTGGCACGCGTTGTGGACGGTCCTGGGCGCGGCCACGCGCTGTTCAGGGGAGGCGATCCTGCCCGCCTGCCCGTCCACGTTGCCATGCACGGGGTCAAACAAACAAGGCGGCTCATTTTCTAAGTCGATTGAGCCCCAAAAAACAACCACAGACCATTTGTGTACCACTTAAACAGGCTTGTCCAAAAGAAAAAACTCCTCAAATTGGGAAGTGAGGACGGGGGGCGCAATCCAACACGTCGGAAAGGGTGGACCGAAAGCTGGCACCGTGTGTCAGACGAGCCAATTACCTTTTTCACCACGGGACGTTCTATGCAAGTCCTCGCAAACTAGGAATGCCACAATGGCAATTCCAAGGTGGCAAAGCACCTTCCAATGTGCCAAATGCAGCCCCTTACAGCACCGCTCTGCAAAAAGGGCGGCTTCAAACCCACCTTTGCACTGCCCTAAGCCTGCTCCTGCAACAACAACCCATTTTGAGGACCCCACTTTGAGCTTCTAGGCCAGCTTTCGGCAAACAACCAACACTCATGAAAGGCTCGCTGCCTGTTCTGATCAGGCCTAAACAGTAAACAATGCCACTGCAAAGCTCTCAAACAAGTCTGCCCTGAAGACAGCAGCCCTCTGAACTTGGAAAGTTGCACCCTGACGTCAAGGAACTACCTGTCTCTAGTTCCCCTTCAACCCCCCGGTACACGCACAAACAAATAATAATAATAATAATAATAATAATAATAGTAATAATAATACTAAACATAATAATAATTATTAATAATAACAATAATAAATAATAAATAATAATTATTATTATTATGATTAATAACAATAATAAATAATAAATAATAAATAATAAATAATAAATAATAAATAATAATAATAATAATAATAGTAGCGAAAGTCGTAATCTTCATAATCAGAGAGATAATGATAATATAATTAACGGCAATAATAA